TTTCTGAGTTATCTTTTTCACTTCTCAGCATAAATGATAGCTCAGCAGTTTGGAAGGTTCAAAAACAACCTTCTGAATTCATCATCCCATTCCCATTGAACAGGCAGAGTTTGAGAATGAGGTCATTTGATATACTCTTAGTTCCATTAAACAAAAAAATAAGTAAACAATAGTTAAGGAGAGCCGAAAGTCTGAAGTTCATTTGACAGCACAAATCCCAAGTGTCCTCCTCATTCAAGAGTTTTTCCCTCCCAATTTCATGATCTTGAGAGCACTGCATGATCCATAGGTACAGGAGCTCAAGAATTACCTGACTTCAAACCCCCCAATCTGACAGCTCCTTACACAAGTCACATGAAATACAGTGTGGCTTCTTCACCTTACTCACCAAAGTGACATTTTCCAAATCCTCACACAAAGGCGTAGGTTGGAGAGATGACAAGATCACATTATCTAATGGCCTCCTAAAGTCACCTAGCAATGTTGAAGTTCGGATATGTTGTTGTTTAGGGTTCATATGAGTTTTCACCAGTATGCACATACCAATTGAGGGATTTATGCTCAGGAGAAGGGTTGTTATCTGGAGTGATTTTGTACTTTGAAATATTGGTGTGAAACAGAACTGCGTTGGCGTTCAACCTTTCATAGAAGTGAGACTCTCTTTAACCAACGGTGAATGTTGTACCTGGACAGAAACACTGTAGCCTTGAAAACACGTGCATTAATTGAACCCAAGGGCCCTGTAAACAATCAGACAAAGGTGCCTTTTTTAGAATTGCAGAGATTCATGCATTGTTCAAATTCTCATCTTCTCCAGCTCTGCCTCACTTTCCTTGTAGCACACATTAAATGAACAAACAGATTCGTCAGGAGCACAGAATTGGACTTTCTTGAGGAAACTTTCTCAGGTATCTGATTATTCAACCTGCCTCTCTGGGTAGCACTTACCTGATGTTATATAAAATGTACGTTATGCCTGGCAGGGTGGCATGCGTCTGAAATCCCAGTAACTTGGGAGGCTGAGGCAGGAGGATTACAAGTTTAAGGCCAGCTTAGGCAA